GTCCGGAGCCTGTGCTCTGCAACGGGAGAGGCCACAACAGTGAGAGGCCCGCATACCAAAAAAAAAAAAAAAAAAAAAAAAAAAAATACCCCCAAGAATCTGAGAATTAAACAAGAACCATGAAAGTCTCCTGCAAAGTGCCTAACCTATAGTTACCTCTCAAAGTCCATGTTATTGGACTCAATAATTTAATTTAATAATTCACTGAGAACCTAGTACTGGGCAACAAGTATCTAAATGTCAGAGGGAACACAGAGCATTTGTTGCTGCTGTTGTTTTTCCCTGTCAAGGAGCTTATAATTTCACAGGAGAGTTAAAACACAGTCACAAGTAATTGCTGAAATATCTTGATAAAAGTAAAATAAGCACTTTATTAGTTCTAGGATATTCAATATCCATGCTGACATATTTCTCTTTTGCAGGCTTTATTGCATTTTCCACCATGCCAGAGCTGGCTCAGAAAATAAGAATGTATTTTGCTTTAGCACCCATAGCTACTGTTAAACATGCAAAAAGCCCTGGGGCCAAATTTTTGTTGCTGCCAGATGTGATGATCAAGGTGTGTGACTCCTCAGAAAATTCCTTGTCTATGCACAAGAGTTTTCCAGCCCATTTGCTAGGACATACACTTTTATGTTAGAGACACTTCTTTTGATTGTAATGTAATGACTATTCCATTTCATATTTTTACAGGGATTGTTTGGTAAAAAAGAATTTCTCTACCAGACCAGATTTCTCAGACAGTTTGTTATTTACCTTTGCGGCCAGGTGATTATTGATCAGGTCTGTAGCAACATCATGTTACTCCTGGGAGGATTTAACACAAACAACATGAACATGGTAAGTGGGAGCCTAGTGAATTCTCACTGTCCCAAAGCAAAGTGAGGAGTTATTAGTCTCACTCCTTGAGGGTGAGCTAATGCCAGGGAAGACTTAGAGAAAAGATACTCCAAGAAACTCCGTTTTCTTCAAATCGTAATAATATGTGGAAAACGCTTCAACATGGTCTGAGTCAAGGTTAACACAAGGCCATGACTACACACTAACTTCATAGATTAAAGATCGAAGAGGTCTGAAAGCAGCTTTACTACAGGGAATCAACAGACGCAAAAAAATATGATTAGAACCCAGAAGTCAAAAGAGAAAACTGCCATGTGTCACCTACTTCTTCTTTCTACTCGGGTGCTTCCAGTTTGTAGCTTAAGTCCTGTGATAGGCTGTCTGGGAGTTTCGGTTTGGCTAAGGCATAGCTACGACTTGGTAAGTGTGACAGTGGGTTCCCCAGGAAGCATACTGTGAGATGGAGATTCATGTGCAGAATGATTTGGGGTTAGGCCCTTGGGATAACATCTAGAGAAGGGAAGGAAACAGGATTTGGTGGATAAAAAAAAATCCAGCTGTGATGCAGTCCCAGTGGGAACCTCAGTTGATCCTCTAGGGACCTGTGAAAATGGGACGACCCTTCAGAATTGTCCCAAGTTAGCATCAGAGGGCTGGGTCTTTATACCTCCATATCAACTAGTCATTTAATGCAGACAACACCAGTAATCGGGAGATATTGGGCAGGGCAGCTCTCTGCAGAGGGAAGAATACCCCCAAGGACACCAGACAGCAAGGGAGCTATCTGCCAACAGCTGGAGGAGCATGTTTTTAATTCCTGAGGATTTTTTTCTTTTTAATTAATGATACGATTAATAGCTACCTTTTGATAAGCATTTTATTATATGCCAGGCTGTTAGTCCCCGTAACAACCCTATGACACAGGTATTATCAATATTCCCACTTTATAGATTAGTCTTAGTGGATTAAGTAATGTTCCCAATTTCACCTAAAAGTTATATAGCAGAGGTGAGATTTGAATACAGGCCCAGTTCCTGAGCCTTTATCTTTAATTACTCTAAGGAAGTTTTTTAAAAGACGAAGTCAAGATGTCTAACGAGAAGCTTTTCTCTGATGAAGAATATAGGATACATTTAGTGGCATTTTTTTACTTATGTGCATGTGTATATTCCTGTTTCATAGATAACTGCTGATACTTTAATGATGTTCCCATTTCTTAGTCTGATAACCTGTAGATTTGGTCTTGACAAGGTGCACATGTTGTGAGTTTTTCCACATCCCACAAACTACTCATGCTTTATTACAGAGCCGAGCAAATGTATATGTCGCTCACACACCTGCTGGAACATCTGTGCAAAATATCCTGCACTGGAGCCAGGTAAGGATGCTGAATTTGTAGTCTTTGTTAAGGGTCTTTGTGCAGTTTGTCTGGAATAGTTAAAGGAGGCCCTTTGGACAGCCCAGGGGTTATTTCACATTTATTCCAAGATGACTTGTGATTCTGTCAACGCTTTTTCAACTGTAAGCTTGATCTAGAACACTGAAACTTTTCAGGATATGGGAGGAAAGGATTGGCCCTAGGACATCTTTAGTGGACCTTAAAAGTGTGAATTCAGATGGTTCAAGTGACACATTTCTCAGTCTCTAGCCATCTCAAAGATGAGGCTGGAGATTACGTTTCCACATTCTCCTTGGCTCTTCCAGCAAGACAGTGTGACCAAGTAGTCATAAAAATGCAAATGTGGACCTAATTACCCAAGGAGATTTTCACAGGAGTCCTTTGTGCCGCAGATTTCACCTGAGGTCACAGGAGGGTATGTCCTGATTACCAGTCACAGGAACTGTCTCTAGGCGCTGTGTGGTGGGTTCCTTCAGAATTAGTTCAAGGACAATGTGACTGCTAATTATTCTTTCACATGTGATGAAGCACTGAACCTAATATTGCTCATTATAGATGATACTATAGAGTGACCCCAGTTGGCTGTGGAAATAAGAATGTACATAGGACAGAGAGCTAAGCATCACTAACCTTAGATTCTCGCCTACTAAAACTACAACTTTGTTAAAAAAAAAAAGTGGGAGACTTTTAACTCGAGCAAAAAGTTTTAATAGTGATGATGACACCTATGAATCATAAATATTGGTCCTATCTGTTTTTCTAACAACTTAGAACCTAGTCAAATTATTCTTCAAATGTCATTGTTATGTTTTAGTACGTGTGTGAAAGAGAGAGAAAGAGACAGAGAGAGAGAGATTTTATAATCAAAACCAAAGAAGAATTCTACACTGGATTAAATGTTGGTCATCTTCTCCCAGAATCACCACGTTGCACAACTCTAGGGGTTGCTCTCCCATTGTAGCCTACAGAGTTGTGCAGGATATCCCCCTACATAGACTACAATGGGGATACACTTTTTGGAGTTGTATAATATGGTGGTCAAGTATTTCTATAGCATATTTTTCTCCCTGAAAGGACCTTATTCTTGCCTTTACACTCTCCCAAAGATTATCCTAAAGTTGAACCATAGAGCAGCCTCAGCCTTTGTTCTCTGCTTCCCTCACAATTGCAGACTTGGTAGCATATTTTCAACCCTCTTCCCACCATTATCCCGGAACACATTTGAATGTCATGTAAATTTTTGTTTCTTTTTAGGCAGTGAATTCTGGGGAACTTCGGGCATTTGACTGGGGCAGTGAGACCAAGAATCTGGAAAAAGGAAATCAGGTAACAAAAGCAAATACCATCTGCTGAAAATATATCCTTTTGAAATGTGTGAGAGGGAAGTTATACTGGCAGTTTATTCTAGAAATAGGAGTAAAATACAAGAATTCAAGTAGAATGGAATACTACTCAGGCATAAAAAAGAATGAAATAATGCCATTTGCAGCAACACGGATGGACATAGAGATGATCATACTAAGTGAAGTACATCAGAAAGAGAAAGACAAACACCATATGATATCACTTACATGTGGAATCTAAAATATGACACAAATGAACTTATCTATGAAACAGACTCACAGACATAGAGAACAGACTTGTGGTTGCCAAGGGGGAAGGGGGATGGGGGGAGGGATAGATTGGGAGTTTGGGATTAGCAGATGCAAACTATTATATATAGCATGGATAAACAACAATGTGTCCTACTATACAGCACAGGGAATACAATGGAAAAGAATATGAAAAAGAAAGAATTCAAGTAAAAAGTAACTAGTTCTGGTTCAACTTCATTTGAAAATGGAAAAGTTCAAAGCTTAGCCAAGAGACTTTTTTTTTTTTTTTTTTTGGCTGTGTTGGGTCTTCGTTGCTCTTCGAGGGCTTTCTTTAGTTGAGATGAGCAGAGGCTACTCTTTGTTGCAGTGCATGGGCTTCTCACTGCAGTGGCTTCTCTTGTTGCGGATCACGGGCTCTAGGTGCGCAGGCTCAGTAGTTGTGGTGGGCAGGCTCAGTAGTTGTGGTGCACGGGCTTAGTTGCTCCACGGCATGTGGGATCTTCCCGGACCAGGGCTTGAACCTGTGTCCCCTGCCTTAGGACTTAACCACTGAGCTACCAGGGAAGCCCAGCCAAGAGACTTTTAAGGGTTAAAGAGAACCACTTTTATAATGCAGTAGCATTTTAAGGGTTAAAGAGACTTTTATAATGTAGTAGCATTTTATAATGCATCAACTTTTTTGATGAGGCTGCCTCCATGAACAAGGCACGGGGCTTCTTAAGAGCAAGATGGGTAGACTTAGTGAAGGGAAGGGTGTAGTCTGTGGTGGCTGCTAGAGTATCTTTCAAAATTAAAAACAACAACAACAACAGAAGAAAACCACAGATGAGGATGGCAGGGGTCAGGTTGGCTCATGGTACAGTAAAAAGAGTATTAATGACAAGTGAGAATTACTGTATTAGTTTTGCCTCTGCACTACAAATTTGTATGATCATGGCTAGGCTGCTTTGATTCTTCAGGGCTCAATCTCTTTCTCTTTAAAATAAAAATTACTGGACTAGATTACATGTAAGAGTTCTCCCTGGTCACACTTTTAATGAACCTGTAATTTGCAAGTGAAAAATATAACAATATTACCCAAGAAAATCTATGTGTGTAATCAATGTTGTGGAATAAAATTACAACAAAAGTTATGGAGAATGAGAAATGAGTATTAAACTTTTCTAAGCATAAAACCTTCACTGAAGATTATTGGTTAGCTTGTGTGAGAATGTAAGCAAATATTGACTCCACACATAAAGCTGGAGGGAGCAGAAAACACACACAGGCTAATCTTTGAGAGTCTCATGTCACACTTAACATCCACTTCTGTAGATGTACTTCTGTATATCTAGATATAAAAGTCTCGGAAATTGGACAGACCACTGTCGTGCCTCGATTTAATTTATTAACATTTAAGGTCATGAGTTAGAGAGAAAGTGACTTGTGCAGAGCAGGTGCCAGAAAATGGTCATGGGAAGAAAGAGAAAACACACATGCAAAAAGATGTCATAGACTCACAGAGCCTTAGAGCTAGATCTGGCATTCAGTTCAGTCTTTTCACCTGTTAGATGAGAAAAACATATTACAGCCTCCATCGAGTATTCCAACCTTTCGTATCTAAGTTACTCTATAAAAAACTTCGTATCTAAGTTACTCTACTCTGACCACCAAATTCCAGTATATGTGTGTGGAGGGGAGTTTCTCCACATGAACAAGCAATTCTCCAACACCAGGTGGGTGACTTAGAGTTTAACTCAATTCTGACACTGTCTACCCAGAGATAACAGATTCCGCAGGTTGAGGGCTCGGTCCCACAAGACTATCCTCCAGTTTGGATGCCAATCGCAAGCCCAGGCTGTCACCTGTGTGTCTGACCCACTGGCTATAATTCAGAGGTTCCCATGACCCCCTTCTCAGGCTGAGGTTTGATTAATTTGCTAGATTGGCTCAGAGAAACACTTTACTTACTAGATTATTGGTTTATTATAAAAGGATGTAACTCAGGAACAGCCAGATAAAAGAGATGCACTGAGCAAGGGAAGGGGAGCAGAGCTTCCATGTCTTCTCCATGGGGCCACTCTCCCCACATTTGCACGTGTTCACCAACCTGGAGGCTCTGAACCCTGTCCTTTTGGGGTTTTGTGGAGGCTTCCTTAGAGAGGTCCAACTGGTTAAATCATTGGCCACTGGCGATTGAACTCAATCTCCAGCCCATCTCCCCTCTCCAGAGGTCATGAATGGGACTGAAATTTCCAACTCTCTAATCACTTGCTTGGCTCCATTTCTGGAGCTCAGCCCCCATCCTGTTCAAAAAATCACCTCATTAACGTCACAAAACACACCATTATGGCTCCTGTCACTTAGGAAACTCTGAGGGTTATTAGGAGCTCTGTACCACAAATGTGGATGAAGACCACATACATATGTCTTATTATAACTCACAGTATCAGATGCTATAACTTCAAATTCTTAAAAGCCACAAAGAGAAACAAGGACTGCCGGGATTGGAACCCTGGCTTCCAGGTGGATTTTCTGAGTGAGAAGTGGACCTTGACATGTCTGTTGAAAGTTCTGAGTGTTGGTTAACCTCAAGGGCTCTCAGTCAGCCAGCTTGATCTAGCAGATCTGTTTGAATAAGGGAAGTTCTCAAGAATTAGGAATCCTAGATAACCTTCTTTGGGTGATGTGGGACTGGACCTGGAATCTAATTTTTATCTCCTCTTGGTCCAACTCCCTGAGTTCCAGTGCCATTGACTGCCCCATGTTTCTGGAGACACAGTCAAGCTGGGTGTGCCCCAGGGCTTTCTGTTAGGACAGAAAACCCCTGTGAACACCCAAGTCCTTTTCAGTAGGTTCCATCCTCTTGCCTTTCTCTGTAGAGTATCTCCAAATCTGGCCTCATGAAACTTTGTGAAATTATCTTTGAAAAAGATAGAAGCGTTAACTTTTAAAAGGCACTGTGTGTGTTAAATATTTATTAATAGGAAGGAAAAGAATTGAACATGTAATGCCTAAAGTGCTAGGCAATTGAGATGTTTTCTCATTTAATCTAGTAAATTATTTCAGATATCATCCCCATTTCGCAGATGAAGAAACTGAGATTCAGTGAGGCTAAGTCAATTTTTTTCCTTCAAGTAGGGGTTGGAGCAGAAACTCTTAATGCAGTTCTATATGGCTTTAGTGCCCACGCACCTTTCATTACAACACAAGGCATATTTACTGTGTTTATTAAAAAGTAAATTATGAGTCTGGAAGTCCAAATGTTATCTACAGTTAAAAACTATTCCTTTACTCTAGCCAGCTCCTGTAAGTTACAAAGTTAGAGACATGACGGTCCCTACAGCAATGTGGACTGGGGGTCAGGACTGGCTTTCAAATCCAGAAGACGTGAGACTACTGCTCTCCGAGGCGACCAACATCATCTACCATAAGAACATTCCTGAATGGGCTCACGTGGATTTCATCTGGGGTCTGGATGCTCCTCACCGTATGTACAATGAAATAATACATCTGATGAAGCAGGAAGAGACAAGTATTTCCTAGGGAACTGTCAGTGTCAGCTTGTGAAGCATCTGATAATGACAAGTCTTAGGAAAAACCTTATGAAAGATGGGGCCAGCGTACCTGGAGGACTTTAAAGATTTCCAGCATTGGAAACCTACCATATTAGTAGAAGGGAAGGCAGAAATACAGTATACATTCCTTTAGATGTTCTGCATTTGGCACTAAAACTGGCATTTAATTTTTTCAATTAATTAAATTACTCATTGGGTGAACATACTTTTCATGTGCTATTATGTGTTCTGCCATCTTGAAGGGTAGGTTTTACCTGACAGCTAGAAATTATCTAGACATTCTTTATGTCATTCAGGTAAATTTCCTTAAAACATTTATTTTTTTGTCTATGAGCCACATTTTTGGAACAATAAAATAAAATGACAAATTGGGGTCACAGATCTTAAATCTCTGGATTGTTGTTGAATTTGACAAAATAAGCTAGATGTTTTCACCTTATTGCTACAGATACATAACACTACCTCAGGAAGCCAAGCTGCTTTAACCAAAAAAGAAAAAGAAGGGACTTCCCTGGCAGTGCAGTGGTTAAGATTTCGCCTTCCAATGCCACGGTGCGGGTTCATTCCCTGGCCGGGGAGCTAAGATCCCACATGTCTCGCGGCCAAAAAACTGAAACATTAATCAGAAGCAGTATTGTAACAAATTCAATAAAGACTTTAAAAATGGTCCACGTCAAAAAAAAAATCTTTAAAAAAAAAAGAAAAAGAAAAATCAATGTACAAATAGAGATGAAAAGGCCAAGTTTTGTAGTTGAGTGTCAGAGAAGATAATTTTGTAGGGTATTTTGAGTTTTCTAATTAATGCATTACGCATTGCGTAAAGCATGCATGTGTATTTCAGTACCTAGGTTCTAGTCCAAGCTTGTTTGAGAGTTTACAGCTTGCCGCTAGGAGACTTTCCGGTTTCAAATGTCTGGCCCAGGTTTCTGCCTTCAAAAATTAAATGCTGGGAAGAAAGTTTTAAAATGTCATGAGCATAATAAAACATTAGGCTTTGATCTTGACAAAGGTACTATTAGACAATCACCCAACTCATTTATAAATCTGGATTTATTTCTTTAGAAAATTGTCCAATTATCACACAGTTTCAAAGACAACACTTATAAATTACATGGCATGGTAATTTTGTGAAACTCTGACACCAAATTGAAGGTATACTGGCAATGCGTTGAAGGTATACTGATGTGTGAAGTTTCACTTGCTTTTTCTTTCAATCCTCGGTCACCTGATAACTCAGTGCAATGTGAATGGATCTTAAATAATGTAGAAAGAGACGTTTAAGGGCTTCAGAATCTATATCTACATACGACTACTTCCCTCACAAAATATGTGCCTTAAGGCACTGTGCATAGTTCAATAAATATTCCTGGATTTGATTTTTATTAGACCTTTGTTCTGTTCAAGGACGGTAAATCTTTCATTCTTAGACTATATTTGCTACCACACGGTGGGGCTTAGTCCATGTCTAAAAATATTCATGATTCAGTCTTACTTTGCAAAATTCAGTCTTTTTTTTTTTAATAAATGTATTTATTTATTTTTGTATGCGTTGGGTCTTTGTTGCTGTGCGCAGGCTTTCTCTAGCTGCAGCGAGCGGGGCCTACTCTTCCTTGCAGTGCGCAGGCTTCTCACTGCGGTGGCTTCTCTTGCTGCGGAGCATGGGCTCTAGGCGTACGGGCTTCAGTAGTTGTGGCTCGCGGGCTCTAGAGCGCAGGCTCAGTAGTTGTGGCGCACGGACTCAGTTGCTCCACGGCATGTGGGATCTTCCAGACTAGGGCTCGAACCTGTGTCCCCTGCATCGGCAGGCGGATTCTTAACCGCTGCGCCACCAGGGAAACCCTCAGTCTTTGTTATTTATACCCTTTTTGATGATGACTAGCTGTGTTATTTTGAGCTCATAATACACCTTCAAATGTATATGTAAAATAGAGATAATGAAAGCTGCCTTTCCTGACCTATTTAACAATAGAGTTGTTTTTTTTGTTTTTTGTTTTTTGTTTTTTTTTT